TTTAAAGATTTTATTTATTTATTTGACAGAGAGATAGACAGAAGAGCACAAGCAGAGGGAGTGGCAGAGGGAGAGGGAGAAGCAGGCTCTGCACTGAGCAGGGAACCCGATGCGGGACTCGATCCCAGGACCCTGAGATCATGACCTGAGCCGAAGGCAGACGCTTAACCATCTGAGCCACCCAGGCACCCCTTATATTTAATTTTTAAAACCTTAATACATATACTCATAGCTGTCACAATCTTGCTTATTTTACTGAAAAACTGTAACTTTAGATGAAATCTAAGGGCTTTTTTTGTGACCTTTTTTGTTTTAAAATGTACTACAAACTTACAAGTAATTAACTTATACTATATTAAACAATAGACAGTCAAAATAAAATTGTGGTTGTAGGGGCGCCTGGGACAGAGCTCTGCATCATTGGGCTCCCTGCTCAGCGGGGAGTCTGCTTCTCCCACCTCCTCCCCCTCCCCCACTCATGCTCTCGCTCTTTCTCTCTCTGCTCTTAAATAAACAAAATCTTATAAAAAATTGTGGTTGTAATTAAATTAGAGATCATTATCAGTCTTTAATACATATTGTTTATATTTGTGTTTCCCAGAGACATACAAGTTAACTGTCTTTGATAATGATAGCATTAAACATCAATATAGCAGTTTAAAATATGTTCCATAGTCTACAGACTAACGCAGCTTTGTTTTATTTGCGATAAGCTTATGAATTTGTTTTATAAAAATTTTGGTTGATGGCTAGGTGTTCTTACCTCATTTTCATCTGTCAAAGAATGACATATTTATTCCTTTAATTATATTCAAATCCCAGCTATGAAGAATGTTTTATAAAACAAAATCCATTATTTTACTATAAGTACATTCATGACTTTTTTAAAGAGTACAATTCATACTTCAAATGAGATTCTAACCTTTTGTATTCTTATATTATCAAGGTAATTATTTACAATATAATGTGGAAATTAGTGTACTGACAAATAATTTCTAATTTTTTTTAACAAAGGCAATTGTTTGTTTCTTTTCAGTCTATTCGAGAAGTCACAGGCTACGTGTTAGTAGCTCTTAATCAGTTTCGCTACCTGCCTCTGGAGAATTTACGCATTATCCGTGGGACAAAACTTTATGAGGATCGATATGCCTTGGCAGTATTTTTAAACTACAGAAAAGATGGGAACTTTGGACTTCAGGAACTTGGACTGAAGAACTTGACAGGTAAGGAAAATATACAAAATTGCAAATATGCTCTCATTATCAATTTAATGCAATAAACATACACATATGTGTGTAAGGTTACTGTAGTATGTGTTATACTGAGGAACACTATAAAGCATTTAAATATCTAGTCTTTATTCATTTTATGGGAAATAATGCCTTGTGATGCCCTTGCTTTTATTTACAGATATTGTAAGTGCAGTCTGAAAAATACCGTAATACTGTATCTCAGCTGAACAGAAGTACACTCTAAGGAAATGCTCAGTGGCTGAAAACTGAGATAGGAAGCAGGTTTAAGAATGCTGTGTTTGGTGGTCTCAGGTGAACAGTGGACCATATCATCAAATCTCTGCAATAAATAACACCACAACCTTCACCCTTGTTAGAGCTCAGTAAATACACAAACCTTTATATCTAGTTCCACTAATCTAGTTTTTTGCACAGCCCCTTATTTTTGGAAAACATACCTTGATTTACTAAATTAGTTTTGATTTATTTTATTCAGTAACTCACTCAATGCCATCAGAAATTCTTTCTCAGAATGTTTCAATACCATCAGTGATTTTTCCCTTAAGATTCGAAAAAGGAATTGCTAACAACCTAAACTTATTATCTTGCTGGAAAAAAACAAAAAAACACAACACTTTGTAGGAATTTGTCTTGTAAGCTGGTCCTGGCATTCCTGCAGATATCCTTTCAGTCCATATAGTTCATAGCTCATACAGGCTATCGTAGGAGGTTTGGTACAAGGTTTCTAATCATGAGTTTTGCTATGTGTGCCTGTAGTCAAGTACTGCTAATTAGTAATTAATTATCATCTCACAGTGGGATAAAGGAGTTTAAACTATTAATTTAACCTACATTACTATGATCTATATTTTGCATCAAAATACATAGTGATTCTTTGTGTGTTTGAGTCCACTCAGTGGTAATGTTTCTTGACATTAAAAAATTACAATTTTTAGAGGTATTGCCTCAAAATACTAAGTAAAAATAACATTGATATTGTCAGATTACTAAAATTTTTGTTTCTTTAATTCATAGTGGATATAATATATTTTAAGTTAGAAATAGCTTCATAGTTAGCCAGACATGTAAGCTAAAATTGGATATTTTGGACGAAGAAAGGAATACTGATTATGTTATTTATTTTGGACATGATTGCTATAGAACTGATGGCATAATGGCAAATGCAAATTATTCAGAATTTATAGATTCCTTCATTAACATTTTACTTTTTTTGTTCTTTCCTTTCAAAGATAGTTTCCTTATTGAAGAGTAGGGTTTTTGACTAAATTGCTACTTGCATGGAAGTAATGATAGGAAGAAGAATTTTAGAACTGGAATGGATAGAGAGAAATTGAATGATTGAAGTTAAGAGTCTAAAAATAATATAATCCAGTTAAAACTTGCATAGGGATAATTATGTTTTATTAAATGATTTTCCTCTATTTATAATAAAGAAAAAATGAATACATTTCTTTTTAAACTTTTTATAATACTTGTTATTATTCCATAATATGTGCTATTTGAACAACCTTTTCATCCAGAAAATCAATCTTTAAAGAGCTATCTTATTTATTTTTACATTTAACATTAGTACTACTCAAATATTTTTTAAGTTATTTAATCAAAATTATGCCACATTTAAACAAACCTTATTTATTGAGTGAGCTCACACCATGATTGCTTATGATTGTGACAGTTTATGTCATACCAAAATACAACACTGTTATTTCAAGAACATTATTCCATATTCTGCCAGAAAGTCTTATAATATTTGTGTGTGTGTAAAGTAAGTAGAAGTGAGTAACTAATAAGTGGCTAAGAGAATGAGTTGATTGTTCAGAACAAAAAATGTGTTTGTTCAAGAGTTATTAATTTCTTTTTGAATATAAAGAAAAGTAAAATAAATGATGGAAAATTTAGACAACTTGGAAATTGTCCAGATATCTTAATATATTTATTAGGTGGCTGAGAATTACATGTGAACATCAGTCCAGCATGATTGATCTTACTCTAGATAATTGAAATCAGTAGTGTAACTCCAGTTTTGAAAATCGAAAGTCACACAATAAGCATGATTCTGTTTGTGTGTAAGAATATATGAGGAAGGGTAGGAGACACCTCACTGTTCATATAAAGAGGAATTGGGGAAGAAATTTGCTCTATAGTTGTATCTTAAAGAATTGAGTGTTCTAGGTAACCTAGTAAAGTAACCAGCAAACATTGCAATTCACTTCAGATAAGATTGTTTTTGTGTTTTGGAAAGATAATTTTTCTAACTTGTTTGTTTATGTGTTATACAAAGCAAGTTGATAAAAATTTAAAACAGTTTTAGGGTTATATTAAGTGTAGGGCTCCAGGGTTGGCCCTAATTTTAGGGCTGTCTTACATAATATGAAGGGAAATAGAATACCTGCTGGAGTAGCCAAATACCTCACTACTTAACTGTCCTAGGGAATTAAAATTTTAACTTGGTTCTTGAAAATAAAAATAAAAAAAAATAAAATAAAAATTTAACCCCATTCTTAAAGAACCAACTGCATCAGCATCACCTGGGTATTGTTAGAAATGCAAATTTGGGGGATATTTATGCAGATACATTATCTGAGACCTAATGGACCAGAAACTCTTGTGGTAGGGCCCATCAATATGTATTTTAAGGATCCCCCCCATGATTCTGATGGCCACAAAAATTTAAGAAACACTGTCTGTTTTTAATTAAAGATATGTTACCAAGAGCCAATAGCATGATATCTAGTTAACCTCTTCACTTACTTGATCTAAATAATTTTCATTCATTTATCATCTCCTAGAGAGAAGGGAAGGAATGGGACAGAGAACAGGTGAATTTGTGACTGGATGATGAGAAATACTCCTTAGGTTGAGGTGAGAATGAAAAGAGCATACTAGGAGCCTGGCTGAAAACGTGTGGGTATTAAAGAGCTTGGAGGTTAGCAAGATGCTGGGAGTAAACTTTCTTCTGTATTGCCATTTGGTCTGGTACCAACTTTGCATAATGGTAAACCATAACAGGGACAATAATAATCATGGTCAATTTTCCTTCTAAGCAAAATTTTATTTTTAAACATGTTCAATAAGATAAATAACAAGTACTACTTGTCAGGTAGGAAGTATGCAGGTTGTAACAAATAATTTTGAGATTATGAATTCATATATATATTTAATATATATGTAAAATTTTGTTTTTCCTGAAATCTTTTTTGCAGTGTTGACCCTAGAATAATATGCCTTTTTTTTTGTTTTAATTACATTTGTTGCCTGTAAACTCTATCTTTGTGAAAAGGAATGTTCGATTAACATGATTAACTTGAGACTGTCAGATATAAGGATTAATGGTTGGATGCCACTTAACAAAGATATAAATTAACTTTGACCTTACACATTCTTATTAATTAGCTTGATGGTCACCAAAAGCTATTGCTTGGACTATAGTTATTACTATAGATCTTACTTAGAGACTTTCATCTTGGTTGTGCCCAAAGACAAGAAACACAAACATATTTTCTGGCTACTGCTGCTACTCACATTTCCCTGGTTCATTGTCAGTGAGGTGGACAGAGTGGAGAAGAGGCAGGTCCCTAGGCTAGAGATATGCCGCACAATCTAAAGGGGAGTAAGGAACTTGTCTTGGCAATCCCTAGGTGCTGTGGTAGGCTGGGTAATCCTTTTCTGGTCAGAGGAGAGACCATATTTCCATCAATGTGTCCATCAGGCATGTAACCTTCTTGAGGCCATTGAGAATGACAGTACTGAACCAGAGGACTACAGAGCTGGAGAGAATTCATTACTTCCTTTGTTAAGGTCACTTGCACGTGGCTGTGGCTTTATTAATCACTCCCATGATGTTAGTTTATTTTTATAAGATCCTTCTTAACCAAATATCCCTATTCTAAATTCAAATCAACATCTAATATATTTACAACTTTAATTCTACAAGCTACTACTTATTTAATTACCTGTCTGACCAAAATCTAAATGTCATTATATGGGGCAAAAAAAACCCAAAACCCAAAAAACCAAACAACAACAACAACAACAAAAACTATTATTTTCTCCTTTCTGGAATTTATAGAACTACCTCATCTGAATAATATTATACAATCTCATCTATATGTGATATTGTAGATATGAAGGAATCTTTGGGAAATACCTAGATTCGTATCTATTTTACTATTCATATTCTATTTATAATGATGATAACCTGAATACAAATTTACTACATAAATATGTATATTTTTCTTATCAAATTTCACCTTAAATATTTGGATTTTAATTTTATGAATTATTAGAATATCTCTTTTGAATAGGTAAAATTTGAGGTGATACCAATATACAATTTATGTTTTCCAAATATTAGCCAAATATTCTCCATATTTTCAGACCAACACATTCTTGTATTAGTACCTTTATTTAATGTTTTATGACTATTCTAATTATTTGGTTAACTGTGTACTGTATCATCTTGATTAGATTATTATTTGATATGTGGACAAGCAAACATTTTAAACAGAAGTAAAATGCTGAAGTTATTTTTGGGAGCCCTCAGTAATAATGGAAGGATATATTAAGTTTACTGAGTTCTAGTAGACTAAAAATAAAATGAAATGCTTAGTTCAGGAGATAGAACATCTGATGTAACAACATTTAAATTTCTCAAACCCCTTCAGCATTATTCAGTGACAGTCAAGTAAATCACCTAACATTGAAATGGACAGGCCATCTGCAGTCAACTCAATGTATGTCAAAGACCATGGGTGTGGAATCAGAAAAAAACAAAACAAAACAAAACAAACCCGTTCAAATGTCAGATCACCACTTACAGTCTGAGTGTCTCTCTGAGACTTAGATTCTTCATCTTTAAAATTGAGAATTCCACTTCACGATGTTATTATAGACATTAGAAAAATAAAGTAGAGAACTTGTCAACCACAGCCCCTTTCACGTAGAGTATACTTAGGAAACCTTCATCTTCT